AATATTTTAGCAAACCCAAATCTTTCATTTTAAAATTTGTATGGAGGAAATCTTTAGTTTTCTTTATCCCTTTTACACTGTTTTCAATTATCACAAGATCATCCCCATAAACTAGAAAAATTATAAAATCATTTTTATCTTGTTTAGTGAATAAGGAATAATCATACATGCTTTGAACAAAACCACCAGCAATTAAAGCTTCATACAATTTAACATTTCATTGCCTAGCTACTTGTTTTAAACCATATAGGATTTAGTTAGCTTACATAACTTTTTCTCCCCTTGCTTGCTAAATCTTAGAGGAATTTTCATATATACTTCTTCATCTAAATCCCCTTGAAGGAAAGTGTTATCAACATCTATTTGAATTAGATTCTAATTATTATAGGCAGTAATAGCTAAAACAAAACGAACAGTGGTCATTTTTACAACAAGGGAAAACATTTGAGTAATCTATGCCCTTTATTTGACTATTCAGATGCCCTAGAAAAACATACTTGACGGACTTGGTTTGAAATTTATCTAATCTTCTTGAAATTTTAGCATAGGCTAAACATCCAAAAACTTCTAGGTTAGATAAGTTTAGCGGTCTTTGGTATAAAACATCATATGGAGATTTATAATTCAAAACTTTTGAAGGAATTCTATTAATCAAATAGACTGCGGTCTTAACAACTTCCTATCAAAATTTAATTGTAAGTTGGCTTCAAGAATTAAACTTTCAAAAACCTCTAGGATATACCTATGTTTTCTTTCCATATCCCCATTTTGTTGTAGGGTCGAACACAAGTGATTTCATGAATAATACCATTTTCAAGAAAATAGACAGAAGCCTCATGGTTCACAAACTCAGATCTATTATCACTATGGATATGCTTAATCATAACATCAAATTGATTTGTTATAAGGGAAAAGAACTATTTTAAATGACAAAAAGTTTTAAATTTATTATGCATAAGATAAATCCAAGTTATACTAGAACAATCATTAATAATGGTGAGAAAAAACTTATATCCTTGATGAGTAGGGTCTATATGGCCCTAAACATCAACATGAAGTAAGTCAAAGTGGGAAGCAATTTTTATTTGACTAGAAGGAAAAGACAATCGAGTTTATTTTGCTTTAAAGCAAGTATCACAACCAAACGAGTTTAAAAAAGATAAACTATTGCACTCTCCATAAGTACATAAGTCATGACAAGTAATATAATGTGAGTAAAGTATCATTCTCATAGAAATTTATATTAAAAATATGGTCAAGCAAAAGACTAAGTAGGTTTAATCAAGTTGAGCAAAACACAATTGGTAGGATAAAATTGATTTTAAAACTTATATTATAATTAGAAAATAAAGAAAATAAAAATGATTCTCAAACTTCAAGCATAAATTAGGACTTAAAATTATTTATCCCCTTTACATCTCATAACACTAAAATAACATCCTCTCATTAATGCTTTTAATAAAAATAAGTACTAACTTAGGATTTTAAAAATACCTGGATAAGCTCTTTCAAATCATGAACAAGTGTTTAGTTAAATTAATTGCTCAATTTCTTGTTATAATTAATAAAACTCAATTTTAAATACTAATCCTAATATGACTATGCAAAGTTAGTAAGTATATCTCTATCTTACTAGCAAAACCATCCATTCATCATGTAAACTTCATGTACTTGTACTATTTTACCCAAGTTCTACACCCAAGCTAGCCCTTTTAAGCATCACCCAAGTGAACAAATCAACTAAATAGTAACCAATCACTTAGAAGCATTAAGAGAAGAGTAAAATAAACATTTATATAATCATAAAAGAGAGGAGAAAAGTAGTGTTAATCCACATAAGAGTTCAAAATAATCCTAGATCAAGGTGTTTAGCTACTTATAATTATCCACAAGCTATAAATATATAAAATATTTGAACCCGTATCAGATTAAAAGAGAGAAAAGGATAAGAAATAGAAAAACCAAGAGAATAGAGCTTCAAATGTCTTCAAATTTTCATTCCCTTACTCTAAGCTCTTCCAACTCTAAAACCATAGCACACAAAGCTCCCAATAGAGGCTCAAAGTTTGAAGAATGCCTACCCTAGCTTTAAAGTCTGATGCTAAAATGCATAGCTTCATTAAATGTCTTTTGGCTGCAGCTAAAAAGCCTCTATGAGCATTTTGGCTATGGCTTATGATTTCTTGGCTGTAGCCAAAGTGCTTCTGTTGTTCTGATTTTTGCTTTTAGTTGAGGTCAAAGTTTTATTGGTTAAGGCCAAAAGTACTTGGGCTGAGATTTAATTCTTTAGTCTTTGTCTTATCTTTTTCTTGATGTAACAACTTCTTAACTCCTTCTTTGTTTCTCAAATAATGCTCTAACAACTTCAAAAGGTAAGAAATTTTGTAAATCCAAGATTAATTATACCAAGATAAAGAATTATTTATAATTTTAATCAAGATTTTGTCATTTAAACCAAGTGCAAAATATGCACATTTTCCTATTATATGTACCAAAAATTTGCACATTTCATTAAAAAGCATATGAAATTGTAGGAAAATGTGTTGAGATAACATAAATTTTTATAGGTTATCAATTATTCTATAATGAAATTACATATTTAAGGATAGAGTCAGATGGGTGCCTTAATCTTAAATGCTAAATATTATCATCAAAGATAGAATTACTAGCATGAATATTAGTTGATGAAGGGAGGCTTTCATCTATTAAGTAGAGACCAGATTCTATGCCACCAATCATCTTGGTTTTACCATTGAAGAGACCTTGTAATACACAAGTGTCAAGAAAAAAAAGCAACTGCACATTATTGATCTTTTGTTAGCCAAGAAATGGATATTAAATCATAGCATATTCTTGATACATATAGGACATTATTTAAGACAATATCATCAAGAATCCCAACACTACTAATATGAGTAACAATTAGTCTGTTAGCATTAAGAATTGTAATTTTAAGTGAAGAGGAGAGTCTTTAATGGCTACTCTACCAACTGGAAGAGTCTTAATTGAGGGAGATTGAATTTCTTTCTTGAGATTATCTATGATTGTCTTCTTATGGCTTGGATGTAGTGTGAGCACCTGATTTTTCTATGTGATTTGCTCAATTAGACTGGTTGCCTTGTCTCCTTCCTACTTGAAAATTAGAGGGAAACCTGATGATATGGAAACAATTTTCTCTTGTGTGGCCTTTTCTATGGCAATAAGAACATTCATCAGATAGATTAGCTCTGGAATGCCCCCTTCCATAACATCCACGGCCACTGGTGGTTGTAGCAAGCCAATTGGTAGGATGATTCAAGCGAGGAAGATGATATTGATCATTGAGCTTCTTCTTGTAAGATCATGTTTTAGAACCATATGTAGGTATCCTCAACCATGTGTATCCCTTCTTTTGCGATATACAACTATCATTCAAGAAAATGCAAAATGCAATTTTCTTTCATTTATTTGAATAACCATTTTAGAAAACCTGAAAATTTACACCTTGTTTGATATATTGACATAGAAGGATCTTATTTAACATATTGATACTAAAGGACTATGCTTTACATATTGTCATTGTATTATTAACAGCGAAAGACCCTGTGACATATTAATAGCAAATGACCTTTTTCAACTTTTATTGTTTTTAATCACAGGGACAATCTAGTCGTTTAAAACTTTAAATTAATGCTAGCTAGGGACCTAATGTCCTAAGTCGTTTCCAGCAAAATGAAATTTAGTCAAGTCTTTTTTAGCAGTTTTTTCTTAAAGTTATTAGCTAGGAATGGTTGTTCGGTAAGTCAAGCGGATGTTTAGTCAGCTAGAGAATACGATTTGGTCAAAAAAATTAATACGTTAACTAAGAATTTATTGATATAGAGATTGGCCTTATAATAAATATCTAATAAGATAAAATTAGTCCTTGCTGCCAGTCATCTAAAATAATAAATAATACATATTGTATAAATCGTGTACTTTATACATAAGATCAATAATTTCACTTTTTTGTTGGCCGAACAATAATTTCACTTATGTTTTGAGGAAAAAATTAATATGTAAGTTCTTGTAAAATTTTTCAACTTTAAATTAAATTCATGTAATTTATTTTATTTCAATCAAGTAGTTTGAACCATTTGATATGTTAATTCTTCAAAGTTAAAATTATTAATGAATAATTAAATTTTTAGAAAAAAAACTTTTAAATTTTTTAGAAATTTTAATTTAATACTTTTTGGTTAGATAAGAAAAGAAATTTATTTGATTCAATGTTTAAATTTTATAAATTTTTTAATGAAAATTCCATATGTATAAAAATTATTTTAAAAACATAATATAATTATATAAGTTTTGAGTTATTAAAATTATGCACTTAATTCTAAAATTATATAATTTTTTAATAAAAATATAAAAATTCTTAATTTTATTTTTAGGAAAATTAAGAATTTTAACCATTAACAAATTTAATTGATTAAACTATAAGAGTTTGATTAAAATAAAATAAAATAATGAGAAGCTCTTGGTTTAATTGTTCAATTGAATTAACTTATCCTAAAATTTCTAGTTCAATTTCTGGGATACCTAGTGCAATGACATCAAAGAAATAAAATCAAATAAATTATACAAATCTAATAAAAAATATAACAACTGCAGATTAATTTTCTTATTTTTATCATCTCCAAGTTCTCTTAGCTTTAATTTTGGAAAATCAGATACTAACATTGCAATGAGAGTGAGACTTAGGTTTCGCTCAAGCTAATAAGCACAATGTTGAAGGTGCAAATTTCTTTTGAAGTGCCTAAAAATCCAATCAAACAACTATAGAATTGTAAATGATACAATGACAATACCATCCTTGTAATCCCATGTGGAATCTTAAGGGACAAAAAAATAAAATAGAATAAATTACATGAACCTAATTTAAAATTAAGAAAAACTATAAGGAATGTAGATTAATTTTCCTATTTTTTTATTATCTTCGAGTTTACTTAGCTTTAATTTTGAAAAATTGGATACTAAAATTGCAATGAGAGTGAGACTTACGTTTTGCTCAAGCTAATAAGCACAATGTTGAAGGTACAAATTTCTTTTGAAGTGCCTAAAAATCCAGTCCAACAATTATAAAATGGTGAATGATACAACACCACCACCATCCCGGTAATGCCACGGGGAAAGTTCAGGGATGATGGAACCACGTCAAAATCTTCCAAGAAATTGCTATGAACTGCACTTGCAGAGGATTTTGTTTTCCAACCCTCTCAGTACTTGCAGAGGTTCTCAAATCCCATATATTCATTGTTCTCAATCTTTTGGATCATATTTGCTATGCCGACTCCACCTAACAAATGAGAGAGAAACGTTTCAGAATCATTGTGTGCGTGTGCGTGTGTGTGACCATAGCAAAGGAGTGAAGTGTAACACCCACCTAGTGAAATGGCACTGACAAATATTGTAGAGGCTAGAATGAAGATGATAAGCGACGCTCTCCCACATAACATGATCAGCTTTGTCACAATAGACTGACCTACCACGGCGGCAAAGGTAGCCACCAGGGTAAAATAAAGAGCTGCAATACAAAAATGTTGCACAAGAGGTGCGAGTTGCACAAGAGGTGCGAGATATTACACTAAATCCATCTTACAGTGCAAGTCTTTCAAGTCTAGTGGTATCTAGTAATCCAAATTCTTTACATCCCCTAAAATAAATGCATTCATTATACCCAAAGAGCATCTGAGATATCCAGTCGTGTAGACCTCACAATCACTTTCTTTTATATAACTCAATTAATCTAAATATGTGTGTGTAGATGTAGAAAGGGTATAAAGTGCATTTTTGTACCAAAATCATTTCCAGAAGAGCAACAGACATCCTAAAGAAAATTATGGAGTTCTGTAATACATAATATTTCAAAATCCGTGTTAACATTGCTATTGTTCAACAGTTAACGTAGGGTTAAAAAAAGCCTTCCGGTCTGCACCAACGGTTGATTAAAAATTGACTATTCAATAATGGCAACATTGCATTATATGCTGCATTGCTGTACAATTTTAATCTAGATATGTTGCATCCACGTCAATGTTCATACTTATTAGCTGGAGACAGTTATCAAGCAGCTCAGAGGTACTCACCATACGGCACAGGAAAACGGTTAAGAAGGTAGTATTCTACCACAGACATAGAAGAGGAAAAGGTCATGGCAAACGTGGCTGTGGCACTTGAGACCTGCACGGAAATTGAATGAAATATATTTAGAGGTCTTTAAAGGGGAGAAAAGAAAACGAAGGTTGCTGATGATGTTTCCAAAAGCTTAAATACCTGAGGTGGTATTCCCAGCTCCAAGAACAAGGGACCCATAATGAATCCTCCTCCTAGACCGAGCAAGCCACCGACTACTCCAGCCAGTACACCGAAGAAACAATAGGTAATCAGTTGGTGAACTTTCCAATCTCTCCCTGCATCTCCCTGGGAAGCAATTACTTTCTTGCCTCTGTATAAACCAATTGCCTCATATGCAGATACCCCAAATGAAACTGGGACCTGCATATTAACATACATGCAAAGCATGCTTTAACTTCTAGATGTTGATATAACAGATATCAGATTACACAATCATAGCAGTTAAATAGTAATAGTCCATCACGTGGCGGTGAAGAAAAGCAGAGAGACTTGTTCAAGGGGGTGAAATGCATTGGCATTACCTGTAGCAAGTTCAGCACCCAATATGATACTGAACAATTAGATGTATGATCCTGCAGTCAAGAGGAGATTATTGGGCCTTACGTTAGGATAAATTGCATGGTACGAATTGCTGTATTGTATACGATTAGAAAGAGAAAACCTTGGCTATCTGAAGTGCAAGGAATGCAACCCAAACAAAAACAAGGAGTCCAAACTCCTTCCAGTATACGTTCCTAAGAATAGTCACCTGCAACACATATACTTACTTGTTAATTAGACATAGAAATCACTGTGCTGTAAGAAATTTCTTGAGTATAATCCGACCTCAGGTTCATTGGTGTCTTTTTCAATAGCAACAGTCGGTCCGCTGGGAAGAGGTTTGTATTCTGCTTCAGCCCCTGGACCTACCAAAAGGAAAAATCCATACCCTTTAATTTCATGAAGAAAAAAATGAGCGAAAATTGCATTATTCTATATGCTTTGGCGCTGTACTCACCATTTGACTCTTGTCGCCTGGCAGCTTCCTAAATGAAACGAAAGATTCAAACGGTTAAACAACAAAAGAATTTTTGTGAAGTACAGCAGTAACGGTGTGCTCAGTATAAGTGTTATTGAAGGAGATGAAGAGTTAAAAAAAAAAAAATAATAATAATAATAAGGTCTTTGGTTTAATTTTAAAGTTGAATGCAATGTAAATTAGAGATATATGACTAATAAAAGTAAAATATTCTATTCATGCCAAAAAAACGCGGCTCCTTTGTTTGGAATATCAGGGAAAAGTATGCAGTAAAAATAATACAAAAAGTGCAGGGGAAGGTAACAAGGATTACCTTTTTCATCAAGGTTTCTTTTTTCCAAGTTTCAACACCCTTGAAGAATGCTTTTGTTGAAGTTCCTGAAAATCAAGAGGATCAGGCAAAGGATGTAACGAAAGCAGGAAATGTAACAATAGGAGTCGTGATTGAGCAAAATGTTACCTATAAAGAGAATAATAAGCAACACAGTAACCATCCAGTCAGCAAACACAACGTTGAAGGCCACCCCTATGCTGATTCCGAGCATGAGCATCGGTTGAATGAGCAGCGCTAAATCATAGTCAATGATGGGCATATTCAACGTAGGATGTCTTAGTTTAAGGTTATAGTAAACAGTGGACGCAGCAGCACCCATGATCATACCTGATCCCAAGGAAAACCACGATGATTCAATTTCAAAGTTTATCTCTAGCCTCAGGCCTAAGGAAAAAAATTATTCCTAGCCAATGTAACTTTAGACCTTAGTGTACTTCTTTTTGCGTCATTAAAAAAAAATTAGTAATTAAAAGTAGATTGAGAGTGGAATCATGTAGATCATGGCCTCTTAAAAAAGGCAGTAACGTTAAAAGGTCACTGGGAATTAAAAAATAATTTAAGGCTTCCAAAGCATTCCGGTATATTCAAAAGGAAAGGGGAATTTTGACCCAAAAAACCCCCCCAATCACATTATTGTGTCTTCTCTTACATTTTGAGATGGCAGTTGATGATTTTGGATCAAACCCAATTATTAGACTAAGCATGGGGACGAAAATGCCGCCACCACCAACACCACCAACACTTCCAAACGCTGCTCCAGAAAAACCAATTATGGAACCCAGAACAATTTTCCATCCAAATTCCATATCCTGTACAATTTAACAACCAGAGTATCTCAGAGTCACAACTTCATTCAATAATGAAGATTAGAACGATACAAATAAGCACGAATCCAAAAGGAACAAGCCAACAAAGTACTTTTTTTCTCCTACAGCTTCAGTATGCAATAATTTTTCTCAACCAATAGCGGGGAAAAGCTCCAGAAACACAATCAACAAGAAAAGACAATCTCAAAATTCTCCAGTTTTGATTTAATGTAAATACGACATCTGTCACCGAATGAAATACTTACCGGCCACACGTGTTGATAACCAGATTCCTCTGATCGCCATAAGAAACTAACAGCTCGATGGAGGAAATCACCATGGAGCCCTTCGGTTGCATTAAACCGTGACGCTTCCGGTTTCAAGCTTCTTTCTGCCGAAACAATCACGAATGCCGATAGAAGTTTTAACACCGCCAACGTCACCCATATTGATCTCACCCTTTCAGCCATCAAGTTTTTTCCCAGTTTTAATACACCCACGCTTTACGAGCGTCCCTGATTTTTGAGGAGTTAGTATTGCTGAGAAGTGTATGATCCAAAAGTCTTTACCCCAAATGATGAATCTTCACGTTGAAATGGTCAAACCTCTCACGGATCAGTGGTGTACGGAAGAAAAGCAGGAAATGAGCTGTGCAGCAGAGAGGTAAATGAAAACGCCCAACAAGATGGGTATTAATGTGTTGAATGGTCCGAATGTGAAATCATTCGCGCAAAAAAGGCGACGAAGAATCCTGCAAAGGGCAGCTTTACTTTCGTGTAAAAGAAATGAACAAGTGACCCCACAGAAAAATAAAAAGAGGGGGGGGGGGGGGAATTGCAATTGGGCGGAAGACAAGCTGATTGCAAAACAAGCGAGTTGGTGGGGGTGGGAGAACAGAATCTGGAAGAGTATAGCCTCAAAATCACGATCCCTCGTTGATGATCTCTCTGGGTTTTCCGTTCTGGGTGTGAGATTTTAAGGAACAGCATTCAATTAAATTGGATAAATTAAATTAAAAGCCGCGAGCTGCATGGAGAGATTTATAGAGACAAACTTAGATCATCCCTTCAGAGCAGTGCATGACGACCAAGCATTTTTAGGTATTGTTGCTTTCGCCTCAATAAGAGGCAAATGACCCATGAACTATTATTACTTTACCTGTCTATTGTCCGTGTCAAAATCGTCACTCTATTTTAATAAACATTCGGACTCAGCAAGATCAGACATCTGTACTCTTGTAGACTCTTCTTTTTTTGGCCAATGTGCTCCTGTAGACTACAAGTTCATTAATATCTAGTGGACTAGTGCTATGCTATATCATTCACGATTCATTCATCAATCGTAATGCAATGAGATATTCTGATCTATGAATTTAACTGTGTAGTATTTTTTTTATTATGAGAGAATGTATAAAATTTAGTTGATGTTACAAGATTATTAAAATACAATTAATATATTATTAATTTTTATTACCCATAAATTTTGACTGGAAACAGGATTGCTCTAAAATTTAGTAAATTAAAAAATTATACTCCACCCCAAATTATAGAATATTTTTAAAAGAGTTTCTTCATCACAAAATATAAAATATTTTAAGTAAATTAATTTTCCATGAAAATGCATCAATTTTAATTTCTCTCTATAATTAATTTTTGTTCCTTCTTTTTTTAATATATTAAATGATGGATATTTTTGAAAGTCAATAATTTTATTTTGAAAAAATAAAATTGTTAGGTGCATTTAATGAAGTTTATTGGTATGTAAAGTTTTATCTAAAAATATCTTATAATTTAAGGCGGAGGGAGTACAAACTAGACTGTGGAGTCAAAAAATTGTAAAAGTTATTTTTTTTCTTAGCATAAAAATTACAAAAACTGAATTGTTTTAAATCAAAATTTAGTAACTAAGTTAATAATTGAGAAAAAGTTTAAAGATCAAAAGCTATATTTTTCTTATGTGTTATATTAAGAGTGAAAAATACAAGCTATTTTTACCTTGATAAAAATGAAGATTTATTTTGATTTTAAAATGAAGCGCGCTATAAATAAATGACTTTTTTATAACACAGGTGGTTGAATGGAGATGAAGTTTTAATGCACGAGAGGTGAGAGGAAAAACAAAAATAGTCTATGCGGGGTGGAAGGGAGGTGAATTTTAACCATTCCTTTAATTTATCCCAAAACAGGCATGCCCCCTAAATGCCTTTAGGCATTTATTCATGCAACGCCTCGGCGTTTAGTTTCTAAATGTTGCATTGCATGTTTGTAAAGTAAGACCGGGTCCAAGGCATTGTTGTGTTCAGATAATCTAGCCATTGATGTAATCATCAAGTATTTGCCTGATCTATGAACTCTATTCGATCATTACATCACTGGATGTTCTACATTTGAAAAGTATCACAGCAGAACAGTTTGGACATTGATCAATTTCCAGGGGAAGAGCAACTACCCTCCATTTTTTTAACCAAGGCAATAGGGTACAAGCAAAATTTCTCCTCTTTTCTCCTTCAATTCCACCAAACAGATTAAATTAAATTATTTTATTCTTAACCTACGCACAACAACTCGAAAATATTACTGGCTAGTAAAAATCAATCGAAAACAATGTTGACACCTTTCATCAATATTCCTTGGATATCTTGTTTTTCCTTTTTGGCCAGAATAAAATATTCTCTACGTGCTAATTAAACCAGAGATCAGTAGAAGTAGATGCATGATCACGTGAGTCATGGCATGTTTCATATCGAGACACTAGATTTATTAGTATTCAGTTTTATTTTCACGTGAATGAGAATGAAAAACTAAGAGTTACTTGTCCTCCAAACATGCACGGACAAACAGATGTTTGGTTTAAAATATTGAAAGTAACGAGCAGGTAATTGATTCCAAGCACTGTGGCTGCCGCTGGCATCAACCAACCTTGAAGTTGAATAAATATTAAAAAATGTTAGATAATAATGTGGTGCACGTAATATTAGTCTGAAAGTAATAAAACACCCACTTGCATAAGATAAAGATGGAAGACATTGAGATTCGTTCTAGACGCTGGACTTCCGTGTGATGATACAAACATGTTCGTACAAATCCAATCACCAAATCCAATAATAATTTGCCCAAGCTTTTAAATTATAATATACATCTCATTTGATTTGAATACATTCCACCTTCTTCCCTAAAATCATTGCATTCTGAGCACAGATTGGGTGAATTTCACGGACGCGATTTGATAAACAAATGTCCTTTTCCCCTCAGCTATCATTAAAATACAGCAATATTTTTATTATTAATATCCAGGTTTGGTATGAGGTAAGAGGCAATGAAAACAATAAAGAAAGAGGAAAATAAAATTGTATGATGAAATATATGTGTATGTGTGTACATATATACATTAGATTTTATGCTCCGTGTGATGTACAAGAATATTAACACTCATTTTCTGTTTAAAAAATTGAAAGATTTTAATGAGTTAATTTTTTAAAAAAAATTAAACAAATATATTATAAATTTTTATCTAAGAGATGCAAAAGAAAAAAATAAAAAATCAATTAAAAACTTTCTTGCTACAGTTATCCAATTTCCTAAAATTGAAGTCTCCCAATCATTTTCTTTAATCCAAACAAATCATAAAAGTTAATAAAAGTTAAATTATGATTAAATATTAATTTGAAAATTTTATAAAAAGTAATAGCTCTCCAGCTTTAGTTTTTATTATAGAGAATAGATAATTAATTTATAAAAAATTAGAAATAGTTAATTAGTTATTTGCAAACAAAATGTGTGCTAGTTTTAATTAAATATTTATTTTAATACACTGAAAATTATTTTTACGGATTGAAATTCCCTTTAATATTTGAAATCAACGAGGATAATGAAAAATATACAAATATCAAAGATAAAAATATTGAAATCTCACATTGAAAACTAAAGTAAATTCTTTGGGAATGGGTTCTATATATTTGAGAATTCATGAATTTCATAGTGTTTGCCTTTTCAAGAAAGAAAGTGATCGTTTTGTAATTTATAAAAAATAATAAAATAAGAAAAAATATCAAAAAGAAAAGAAAACTTCACACAAATTTATGAATATCAATTTTGGAGGGTTTAAGTTCAAATTCGTTAACCATCTTCTGCGTAAAAGTGGAGAACGAGTAATACAAGAAGGGCCTCATGCCATGCATGGGTATCATCATGATTAGATATAAGAATAAAATAAATCGATGGTTAACAAAATTAGGACCAAAAGTTTTTTTTTTCCCCATTTTTGTTTTACAATTTTTAACAACGCCAGAAATGAACCGACAATACTATGAGCATATAAGGAGCACCCGTGGTTTTCCATTACTGCTACTGATATATACGAAGTCAACATCATTTTTGTATTTGTCCTTTTCTAATCGATGAATCTATCAAATAAAGTCGGAGACGTACCCCCGTTAGAGCTTGTGCTGGTCCAAGAAAATATTACATAAGGTGATTCAAAAATATTTTGTTTGCGTCCTTTAAAAAAATTAGATTGCCAAGCCACTTCAAAAAAAAAAAAAACTTACTTGTCCCCTAAAAAATTTTACTTATCTCATTTAAAATTACGATCTAAAATTTTATCAATGTGCTATAATTTTAAAAAGGAATAGTTTAGTTTCAGAATGAAGGAGAACGAAAGTTTGTTTATTTTTTTTTACAAAAATAATCTCTTATATACAAGAGAAGTGTATAAATTTTATTTAATAAAAAACATGATTCTGACAGATATAAAAAGTTGTGTATACAAGATAATTTTATATTTTATGCATTGTTTCTAGTATTTAGTTTTATTAAGACATGTCCTTAATATAATTTAATAAATATTTAAGATTATTATTTAGAAATGTATTAATTTTTTTTAATTTACGTATAAATTATACTAATGCTAACTCATTTTTCTGGTCGGTCACTGCACAAAGCGATGAAGTGTGGGTGATGCGAAAGTGCACAGTTTTCTTCCCTTCTGGATACAAGCGAAAGCTTATAGCATTAGAAAATTGAATCAAACATGCAACTGCATCTCATCTTACTTTTTATAATCGTCTAATCGATTTGGAATAATTCAAAAATAATGACTGTATATTAACATGCATGTTAAGATAATTAATGGTATATATATATATATATATATATCTTACGATATACCCTTGTTTGCCAGGTAAAGTGTCACGACCCAGCATCGTATAGCTCGATTCACACGTTGTGACGTGTTTAATATTTAGAACATTAGAGTGTAAAAACATGGGAGGAAACGAGTTTTAAGTCTTGATTAAAAAAATTATAACAGTCATCATCAAGCAATAAAAATAAAGAGATAAGGATAAGACTCTCATAGAACATTATTAGAAATATTCAACGACTAAGCTTGTGTAGCTATCATATCCCATTCTCAGCCTTGTGGCTCTCGGGCGAGCTGAGGCATTGTCTTGCTGAATAATTGACAATAGTATAGCCACGGTTGGGATATGATCGAGACATAACACAGCATGGTAGCTTCTAGAGCAAGTGGTAAGGAGAGCGACGATTCAACTGAAAACTTGTGTCTTTGATTCATATGTATATATGGAAAAGTTAGAGGATGTAGAATTCGAGCCAAAAAGTTGCATTCACGTCTATTTTTTTATTTTTAGAAAAGGGAAATTCGTTTTGAATTATAATTCTTGAAACATTGGAGTTTTTTCAATGCGAGTAAATTTAAAGGCCACAAGAAACTGGAGTGTGTTGTCGCGAATTGAAATGCTAGAGTTTATTAAGTGATTATCCTTGCGGTTGCTGGTAAGGTCTATTTTTAGGATCTTATACACCACTTAAATTGATTGCGATCCTTTAAGAGACAGGTCAAAAAAAAGTCATTTCCAGGCTAGGAAGGCATATGATCAAACATTATACTATTATATAAACATAAATTGCGCGATTTATATGTGAGTTCTACTTTTGTGTTATCTTGGTATTGGAAAAGCAGTTTTTATCTTTCTAATTACTAAGTTATAACTTGATGGTATTGGTCAGTATATTTTGAAAAATTGTAGTGTTCACAAATTATAAATGATATTCTAATCATAAATAAATGAAAAACAAATATTGAAAGGGCCAGCTGCCCCCACAATAAT